AATATGGCAAATGTTGTGAAGGCAAATGAATGTATATCTTTGTACAAACCGTTTAGATCAGAGGACTTAGTTATAGTTATGACAGACACATGCAAGGAAAAAAAAACTTTTTATAAAACATTTTGTATTAGATCATTAACAAGTTTTGTACATACGAAGGCTAGACTTTCTGATTAGCAGAAAGGTACAACATTCCTACATTTTTTAAAATGTATGTCCACTGAGAATAAGTATGTAAACATGCGCAATGTTTTATGTGCCTTTTATTTGGGTTTGTCTAAATAAAAGAAAACAGTAAAACATGATTGTCAAGTGGCCATGTTGATACCTACATTTTGATTTTTTTTTGGGGGGGGGGGCGAGGTGGTTTGACACCTCAAGCTAAGAAATCGCCACAATAACTGTGGACGTGAACATTGTGTTGAATAGTTTGCTGGCCCACAGTTTGGCCTGTTTGCAAGGAAAGTGCCTCTGTGAAGATGGTTATCGACAGATTGTTTTAGAGTGCGTTCCAAAGATGAGCAAGAGTTCCTTTTCCATTCTTTTAACTATTAAACCTGGAAATGTTGACGTGTGTCTGCGTATTTTCTGACTGCAGTGAACCATGACTGCATGTTATTGTACAGGACTTAATAAGCTTGACCTAATTCACCTTTACAAAGTCGAATATCATGAAAATTTGTATTTGTTCAAAAAGTGAAACTTTTTTTTAAGATACAGCTATAGTCTCAAGGTTCTGAAACTATGAAATTTCCATCAGAAGAAATAAGTTCAAAATGTTTGAGAATCATAAGTTCGACCAATCGTTTTCACAAGGTCAATTCCGACCTGTTTTTAATGACTGTATACACAATTTAAGTTAGCTCTGAAATAAATTAACTTTTCTCATTAATCTCACTGAGCAGAAGAATGGGGGAGGGGACAAGGCCGCATGCAGCCTCTTGAATGGCAATCCTCAGAGCAAAATATGGTAGTTTTTTAGCTGTCCACCAGGTGTCATTAGAGGTCTCGTGTTGAGAAAGGTGAACCAACCTGCTTTATGACAAGCGACTATTTTGCCAGGTGTACATTGAGTGCCTGATGATGATTTTATTTTTTATTTTTTTCAAATGTTGGGGGAAAGTGGACTTCTTTCCCCCGCGTGTTCGTTGAATTTCGGATGAGGAGGATGTTGGTTATCCAAATACAGGCTGGAGTCGATGAACAGTTTCTTCGAAGCTTTTAATAACAGATTATTCCGGGCACCCGCGGTTAACAGACAATGGCTGCGGTGGTCATGAGTGCAAAGAAGGAAGGGATTCACATCATATTTATGTTATCAGAAGGGCGGTACCGAAACACAAGGTGTGACGTCAGAACTTTTGTTTCTCCTAAACCGTTTCTTAGCTTGTATCAACTGGTGCATTCCTGTGTCTGTGCATCTCTACAAAGTCTCCAGTAGGGAGTGTTCCAATTTTAAGTGATGATTGCTTCAAGGACACAGAGTGTCACTGCGAGCATGTGAAAGTTATACATCATGACTAAACGTGAGCAGAATACACACTTCAGAACCTTAACTGTTTGCGTTGTGCTGAACAGGGATGGCAATGGGACCTCTCCAAAATGGCCGTCAAGTATGTATAATTTGGAGTTAGTCCAAAATGACGCAAAAAGCCTTAAATGTCACATCAACCATTCCTGTGAGATGTCATTTCTCGTGAGATGTCAGCTCAGTGGGCATTCACGAGTCATCCTCAAAACGAAACAAAGCGTTATAATAAAAATTCAAGTTTTAATACAGAGTGGAGAATTATATGATTGAATTAATCTGAATTAAAACTTCAATCAAGTTGTGGTCAGAATTATAGTATAAGTTGAGCTCATACTGTGGGACTTGATGTGCATATCCCTAATGATAAATAAAGTGCTAATCATGAGGGATATCAAAGTCAGGTCCTATGATCTCAACCGACCACAACTTGATTATGTACGAACAGAATAGTTCGGGATGACAGAATAAAATCAATGTGCTGATAAAAAGCAAAGCTATACTGTTCATGCATCCTGGGTGTTTTCATGACTCTCTGTATATTCAAGATCCTGGCGTTTCAAACAAGCTGTAAGGTTTTTTTTTTTTTGTTGTTGTTTTTTTCCAAAATGGCATCCAAGTAGGCAGCTGTCGGCAAGTGCTCTTCAAGACCCTGGCGTTTTTTTGGTGTTTTTGTCTTTTGTTTTGTCACGTTGTGTTTGTTGTTACGTCGTGTTGAACTGCTGTGGATTATTTTCAGCATTTTTTTGGCCACGATGTTCATCAAAGGAGAAGAATCTGTGCTTGGTGGTTGCGCCTTCTCGGCAGCACGCGTGTACCAGCACTGATTTTTGATTGGGAGGAATGTCGGCGCCATCTGACTGTCGTTGCTGGGGCGCTTGTGTTTTTTGGCGCCTGAAACGGGCAGCATTTTTCACAGCCCCGCTTTGTACAGCGGGAATGTTGGTGCTGTTGGACAGTCTGCGGCTGGATGGATGAATGGCATGTGGAGCCGACGATGAGAAGAAAGGAGCATCAGCGCAGCGCGCCAATGCAATTAAACTGGGAGTCGCGGCTTGGAATTGAAGCAGATTTACATGGGACAGGAGATGTGAGCCAATCTCTTTTTTGTCAATGGACGCTACAGCTTCTTGTTTGCTTTCAAACTTAGCTTGACATTTTCAGCATGACGTCCATGTTTTCCATCTCTCCCTGCTGCAACACACCTGATTCAAATGAACAGCTCATCAGCAAGCTCTGTAGGAGCCTGATAATCATCCTGATCATTTGAATCAAGTGAGTTGCAGCAGAGAGACATGGAAAACATGCAGAACATCGGCCATCAAGGACCAGACTTGGACACCTGTGCTTTAGAGCGCCTTGTTGTTGGCCATGCCTGCATGCACATCTAGCAGTGATTGATGGAAGAGGGAGGAACAAGTAAAAATAGTCCAATCTGAGTGTGGCCCAGGAATTCAAGCTGGGGTGGCCGCCTGAGAGCTCGTCATTGTGCTTTTCGCGTATATTAAAGTCACTGGAGAAATTGTCATGGCTCAAACATGCAATTATACGGTATGTTGGCAAGAGAAAGATCCAGACACGTTTTTTCCAGGTCATCAATGAAGTTTGATTAACCGCTGAGTGAAGTGTTGTTTCAGGCCAGCGCATTCAGTGGATAAACGTGTTTAAGAGGGAAGAGAACAAGCTGATTTTTCATGATATGGTGATTTTTTTTCTTTTTTTTTTTTAACAA